TTCCTTAATTATTACGTGTACTTGCTCTGAAAACATAGCTTTTACAATTGTTTAAATTAACAGATGTTGTTCTATGTACAATGAATACATTTTAAATAATAAACCTTACTGTATTAATAAAAAATTGTATTTGACAACATGAGAATGATTCTGATGCCCAGTGGTGATGTTGAAACAAACCCAGGTCCTGGTAATATACTAAGACCTGATTAACAAAGAAGTCATGTACATCAAGGTTCACTCAGATTTATGAATGCAGTTTCTTGAGCAAGTATACATGTATGACAAATAGTTTTGTTGCACTTGTGTACTCTGAGATTCTGAACATGGGTCAGTGGAAGTTTTTAGTTGTCAGTACAAAACTAGATTATGGGAAATCACTTTATGATGAGTTGTACCCACATAGAGTACATATTCATTCACCTGTTTGCAGATGTTCCTTGTACTACTTTATAATCAAATAACGGGGACTGTGACATTTCATGTCTTGTTATTCAATTGATCAGGCATGGTGGTAAAATAGGTCTACATGGGGTGTATGCAATGACATTAACATTTACATTAGCAACACACATACTAAACAACACGTTTATTTGTCAGAAAATCACAAATAAGTGGACAACATTCTCATGTAATAAAACAATAGCTAATTGCACTGATTGTAAAAGATCAATGAACAATCAGATTGATTTTGCAATCTGTGGTAGCTGCAACGTAGAGGCCAATTTTGCTGATGCTCTATACGAAGTACCATTATATTTGTAATTAATGTAAAAATAGATTTTGGGGTAGGTGTTTTATTTATATGCCATCATCACTAAGGGGATATACATGTATAAGGCTCCGTACACTTCACGTGTTGTTGGATATGACGTTATCGAGTAATGCATAGACATTTAAAACATTTTGATTTTCAAGACAATAGGATCTAAATCTCATCAAAACTCTTATTAACTTATATTTTGAGTTATAAATGAGAACAAATTCACAAAAATGATGTTTCCATGGCAATTTCTACTGAATAATCATAATCTGTCTTTGAGTTATCAAGCTAAAAGACTGACAAACAGACAAATAAATGTATGCTAGTAAAAGCATAACCTCCTTGACAGAAGTTATTAATCAGATGATGGTTGCATCTCAGATTATCAATTATTTATCTACCACTTCGTTGCTGGAAGTAAGTCTGATCCCCATATTATGTTCATGGTCTACACTTATTTCACATGTGCATGCAAATAACGAACAGCTATATCCAATTATTAACGCAATCGTGCACGTTACTATAATGGAAACTGTTACATTTGAAATCAAAACCATGGTGTCCCAAAATAAACTCAATGATGGTAAAACAGAGCATACCTTGCCCTATTGATCACATTAACATCGATTGCTGTTTTGTTCAATTAGTAGATTATGAATGTAACATTGGAGTAAAATTTGATGCTGAACAAATAAAGGAAGCACATTGCCTCAGCCTGCAGATTAATGTATTATGGATTGATTGCATTTGGAAATACAAAAGCCAAATATTCATGCTACTGTATCAACCAACATCGACTGCTTAAATGCTCTGTTCTATGGCCCATCATCCAAATATATCTATTCAACATGACTAAAACACTGCGGCCACACGGGTTGTGCATGTCAGAAAGTCATATTACATATTTTAAAAACAAATGGCACTGGCTGTCTGTACAATACAGAATAAAATACTATGTTCTGTTGATGAACTTCATAGCTCTTCAAAACACTGCTCTGTGTATACTGTCAATATAATCTTCATCATACCTATATTTCATATTCTTCATTAACATGATAAACGGCTACCCAGTGTACCGCAATGTAAACTCAAATCATACAATTGATTCAAACGCTGTGTGGACACTCAATTATTAAATATAACACTTCATTCGACAATCTACAATATGCGTTTTTGAAGATCTAAGAATTGTCTCTGCATGATATGAAACCGAGTGATGTTACCATACTATGGCGGATCAAGCACTTATATGATCTAAATTGTTGACAATAACACTCCACTTGGCAAACTAAATGTGCTTTTGAAGATCCATGACTTAAATCTCTGTTCGTGGCCAATGACACTATGTCTCTTTGAATTGCCACACTGTTGGCAATTAAGATATCTGAGTGTGTGTGTAGTTATGTACTACATTCTGTTTTTAATGTTTGAGGTTTTGCTTGTGTATTTACAACTTATCAATGTGGGACCGTAATCGTTACGACTTATATAGAGATGTTATGACAACCAAACTAGGACTGCAGTGGTTGAAAAGTACCAATGCAATATTCGTTAATTGTTGCATCAGATGACTGAGCCCATCGAATCATGATTTCAAGAAAAAAATGAGAATTTTACTTCAGGCTTGTGCACAAAAATGGGCATGCAAAAATAGAAAAACATCACGCAAGTATTAGTATTCTCCAGAAGAGTGATTTTTTGCTGAAGCCTAATACCTTACCCTGTATAGTGCATCGTCTTAGTAAGAGAACAGCCCAGTCCCAGTTTGATTGAGGGTTATTGAGTGACGATTCAATGCAGTGGTGTGTGATTGTATCCATTAGAATACGAGCATGCTGATACTTTATGATCTCAATACAAAAGCGTGAAAAACGTATATAATAGAAATACCAGTCATTGGGTCTATACTATATATATAAACAGAACACGGAGTATTTTTCAAATTGTACATGTTGCGTAGCTCATTTAGATGTGTATACAAATTATAGCACGCCCTAACCGAGAATCACCGATCAACTATACCTACCACTGCAACGCACGTTCCTCGTAAATTTATTTCCAAAATCGACAAGCATACGTCATCAGCTCGGTTAGGCATGGAAATCGAGAACAGCACCAACGTCTCCAACACCGTCATTTCAAACGACCGCACTGTATTCAGGTACACAGAGTACTTACAACTCATCGTCGGTGTTATCGGAGTGATAGGAAATGCCTGTGTTTTTGTGCTGGTTTGTAAAATCAAGCTCTTACACACTATACCGAATATGTTCATAGCAAATCTCGCGATGGCGGACATGATTGCCTCTTTCTGTATTCTTGCCAAGCTGGTTGATATCAGTTTCGCAGTACCTAAGAATATCAACATGTCTCTGTATTGCAAGTTAGTACGATCTGATTTCTTTTTCTGGATGTCTGCTGATGCTTCTATCTTAACTCTCATTGGAGTGACAATTGAACGTTATTGTGCAATTGTCTACCCATTTCGTTACCATGCGTCATTCACAAACATGAAAGCCTACATGCTCATTGCCTCAGTTTGGATTTTGGCTGTGTTCCTGGCTATACCTTTAGCTAATAGTTACGACTCGATGGATAACTATTGCGTGATTGTTTATGACAGTAAAACAAAAAAGCTATTCATCATGATATTCTTTGTAACTTATCTTCTACCACTAATCTCTATGATACTGGCATATACTAATATGTTCAAACGTATCGGCCTCAGCACATCTGATAGGCCTGCTGATGCAGCTACCATATCCAGTCGACGACGCCTACTGAAGATGCTATCCATTGTCGTTACTGTATTCTTTGTTTGCTGGAGTCCAAACCAGTGGCTTTATTTTCTATCAAACCTCGGTGTACAAGCAGATTACACAGCTACATACTATCAAATCACTGTATTGATGTGTCTCAGCAATTCAAGCATTAACCCTATTATATACGCTCTAAAAAGCAAACAGTTTAAACATGCCTTTCTCTCCCTTATTCATCGCGGTAATGTGATTGACCATGAAGGGAGTGTAGTTGCCACCACTCACGAACTTATATAATCGATTTGGAGAAAGTAGTAATCGATGCCCGTTACAGAGCTTTAACCGTATACCGTCATATTAAATGTCCGTCATACGTCATACGGACAAGCATATAATAGTAGAATGACTCAAAATTTATGTTTATTCAGATTCTAGTTCTAGTTAGTTTGAAATGTCACCCATGTCGGACAAGTCCTGAATTGTATGAATATGAAATTATGTGTTTGTTTATTTTGAAATTCACAATTAAGGTCGTGTTATTTCATGTAATAACATTTTTGGAAAACATATTGTAAACATAGCGTTTACAGATGTGTGCGTAAAGACAATTTAAATTATTCTGGAATAGTTTCGTCACAACTTATATATTGATATTTCAATGAAGCACTGATTTTATACCTATATTAACCTTTTCACCACCAGATTTCCCGCCTAAATTTTATTGCACTTTTTTTCTTATATTCTTCAATATTTGTGGAAATAAGCCCTAATTTTGGCGCCAACATACAAAATTTGAATTAATTTCTATTTTTTATTAAAATATTGCTATTTTTGACCCAATCTTCTGAAGGAAAGTGTGGACTTTGTGAATTTGTGATGAAAAGGTTAAATTGTTGATAAATACTCGTAAACGTAGCCGCGAATTATGAATACTATATAGCATCAATTTCAGATTTAAGGTTTACAATTGACTGAAAAGATGTAACAGATACGATCTTGTACTGTAAATTATCGGGCGTTCTTTTTAAGATCCATGGATATCATGGCTAGAAACTAGGGTCTGTTTATGCAGTGAAACGTAGTTTGAAAAGATACCATCGAAAACAATTACTTGGCTTTCCATTTTAGTGAAGGGATACACATTATTAAGAAACGTAAACAGATAACTTTTAATCTCACACTACAATATTGCATACTTTGCCAAGACGATGAACACGATAGTAGGTTATTTTCCGTAAAATTGCGAGATCTCGCGAGATGCATGAAAGACGCGCATTGAACGTCTGCCACAAAAATCGAAATTAGTGACCAATAGCAATTTTAAAGTAAAGTACAGTTGTAGATTTCCGCATTTGTCAATGTTCGATACTTTCGAATAAAATAATATGCGATCGAAAGTTTGATATGCATTCAACTAATTCCCAAACCAGTATGCTGTGTCAACGCATTGATGGGATATTTTCATCGGCGGATAAAATCAAGAAAAACAAAATTCGTCTGTAACACGAAGATGGAAACTCGACTACAACAGATTATCGAGATTACTGGCCCCAAACAACGTCTAAGTTTTGAACACTTCATCATTTTCATAGAGAACGATATAACTGTACAATAAACATTGCTGTACTTCACGCACCGGCACCAGCTCTCTGAAAACTTATACACGTAATGTAATGTAATATAATGTAATGTAATGTGATTTTTGATTTACGGATAAATAAAACGAATTTACATTAACGGATGTGACTGATAACTTTTACTATGAAAACCTTAGCATCCCGTGGACAGGCCAGTCACACTGGTTCTCACTACAAGAGGTTACGATCCCACCTGCCAAACGCTAAGGAAAACTGAAAGTAATATATACATATTAACATGAAATATTGTCCACCTATGCGGATCTGTTTGTGCAGGAATTTTACTACCGTATGCCCTTACTGACGTCAACCAAACTTATTACGTGTGAAGTTGGCACCCAAGGATGACAGGTACTACACCTTGTAGTTGTGGCAACGGGTAACCTCATTCTCCCAAGTCCATAGACTCCACAACCGGATGTAGTTTAAAATATTACCCAGGACAAATATATCCAAATTTAAATAAACGTAAACGTTGCCATTATCAGGTACTACCTCACATGTGAGGTTGAGTTGGTGCAAGGTTTTTATGACCGTATGCCCTTACTGACGTCAACCAAACTTATTATGTGGGAAGTTGGCACCCAAAGCTGACAGGTGCTACACCTTTCCCAAGGGTGACCTGAGGGTAGTTGTGGCAAAGGGTAACCTCATTCTCCCAAGTCCATTGACTCCACAACCGGATGTAGTTTAAAATCTTACCCAGGACAAATATGTACAAATTTAAATAAATATAAACGTTGCCATTATCAGATAATACCTCACATGTGAGGTTGAGTTGGTGCAAGGTTTTTATGACCGTATGCCTTTAGTGACGTCAACCAAACTTATTATGTGGGAAGTTGGCACTCAAGGCTGACAGGTGCTACACCTTGCCCAAGGGTGACCTGGAGGTAGTTGTGGCAAAGGGTAACCTCCGTCATTCTCCCAAGTACAAAAAATCCACAACCGGATGCAGTTTTGAATACTTCATCATTTTCATAGAGAACGATATAACTGTACAGTAAACATGGCTGTACTTCACGCACCGGCAGCAGCTCTCTGAAAACTTATACACGTAATGTAATGGATGGTACTTGATGGCCAACCAACCTAATCAAATAAGTATTTTGCATTGTACGAGTGCAAAATAAGTTATTAGGAAATTAGGATATTAGTACCAGCTGTTTTATACGCATGCGCATTGGCCGATCCTGTCAAATGTCGTCATCTGTTTTGGGGCGTGTCTGGTAGATGTGAAATTGCTTCAGCCATTGGGTAACAGAATTACCTAGTGTCTGTAAAAACCGCTGTAAAGTGGCAGTAAAATGAATTTGCGCGGTTTTTGCGCTGCCATTTTCTGAGTTATTTTGGAGCAGCAATGGAAGCCGACCATTTAATTGTCCCGAATATGATTTTAAATGGCCGAACATAAAGAGAAATCAGTCTCGTATTGGAAAGCACGTTTCCGGGAAGGAGAGGTATCGAGGTGGAGTGGCGTGGTGAGTAGATTTCCTCCCCAGGACGCCGAGTTGGGCGTCGGTACCGAGAGGAATATGGTGTCGAGCGACCAACATAGTAAACC